CAGGGTTTCCCAAACCAGGTAAATTTAAAGTATGGATTTCTGGCTCTGCTCATCAATTATATAAACAGGGAAGGTCATCAATAGCAGTGAGTGTTAGACCAGGGGTGGATCCTTGGGCTAAAACAAAGAGGGATATATATTCTGATGGCAAGGGTACGGTGGAGTCAATGATGTGGGTCAAATTAAGCACACGATTATGGTATAGAAATAAGTGGGATATCTGGTTACTGAATAGTATCTTCATCAATACTACTCTTACTAGTATTTGGTTTTTTCCTACCCTGTATTTCATTGAGATACTCAAGAAATGTTAGAGCAATGAAGCAGGCAAGGAATAGGCTAAATGTATGGGAAACAAAACTTCAAATGGGAAAGGGTGGGTGAATAACATGCGTCCCCAATTTATAGGTGAATCATTACAATATTGTATCACTCAAATGAAACACACTGGCTTGTCAGAGTTAGGAAATTAAATTTCCATCATCAACATTCAGGGGTACTTGGGGTTGTTTTGTCAAATGGGGTGAAAGGGAAAAATTTCCTTGTAAATAATAACAAAGCATATTCAGTCCATAGAATTAGGTATTCCTTTTGCCAGAGGCACAGTGGTCTTGAAGGTTTCTACCCCCACCATGTGACGTAGAACATCCTGATTGTATGTCTGCAAATGCACACATTCATCAGGTGCCCATGTGGCCATATCGTCACCTTCAAGTTGGTTGGGAAATATGATGTTGACTGTTGTTACGTTGATGCTGATTTGATAATATTTTCATAATATAAATAAATAATTTAAATAATCTAAAGTAAAAAGAATGTTGATGTTGATGTGTCGGTAGCATGATCGTGAAAGCCAACCCAGCATGCTACTTGCCGTTTCGGACGACACATAAAATGTTGTTGTAGGGGGTGAGCCCTGTTGTCTGGCGGCCCCAAAGTTGTTGTTGATTGTTGAAATACATTTATCTGACCACTGTGGCCAAAATCTGCCATACAATAAACAATAAACTTTTAATGTGTTTTTAATTCTGAAAAGATTCATAGGCAATGTTGCAAATACAAGCATAGGGCTTATGTAAGCCCATGCATATTATGGATGTCTGAGTAGGATTTTCCATAAGGCATTACTGTCTTTGATAATTGCATATATTTCAGCTTGTCTGTAAATATATGCCTTTATCAAAGCTCTCGTTGTCATGATATTGTTTGAAGCTAATTTTGATGGTGTTATTATATGTATGTTGTTGATTTGAAATAATGGTATATTTAATGGATTAATTTGTGTATCAGTTAGCTGCGAAATCCGGAAATTTTGTCCGGAATTTTTTAAACAAACCGTTTTTCACTCTAAACTTACAATACCCACACTTCCTTTTTCTATCAATGCTAGAAATTCAGAGCTAAAATTGTTTAAAATACCCTCCCACCCAACCACCTTTAATTTCTTTGACATGTTCAGGGTTTCTGCCGTTTAAGCGTTATACTTTCAGATGACATTAGCTGTCTACAGGCACAGGAATCCCTAGATGTTCATCTTATCACCGTGGCATTATTTGAATTGTCAACACGAAGTGCTGTTAAGCCATATCATCACCTTTAACGGCGTTGGATCCTGATATTTAAAAACTCAGATTCAATGTTAGAAGTTAAAAATGATGCAGAATTTAATAAATAAAGGACTGGACCCAAATCTTCTCAGGATCGAGCGTTCTTAAGTTGGTTGTGGAAACACACACAGGAATCCTTGGACATAAATCGCGTCACAGTGTTTTAATTCTCAACAGGAAGTGCGACGAAACCATATCGTCCCCTTTAAGTTGGTTGTGGAAAAGACGGGAATCACATTTCGTCACAGTGGTATTATAATTGCGGTGTAGCCATATCGTCACCTTCAAGTTGGTTGGGAAATATGATGTTGACTGTTGTTACGTTGATGTTGACTGTTGTTACGTTGATGCTGATTTGATAATATTTTCATAATATAAATAAATAATTTAAATAATTTAAAGTAAAAAGAATGTTGATGTGTCGGTAGCATGATTGTGAAAGCCAACCCAGCATGCTACTTGCCGTTTCGGACGACACATAAAATGTTGTTGTAGGGGGTGAGCCCTGTTGTCTGGCGGCCCCAAAGTTGTTGTTGATTGTTGAAATACATTTATCTGACCACTGTGGCCAAAATCTGCCATACAATAAACAATAAACTTTTAATGTGTTTTTAATTCTGAAAAGATTCATAGGCAATGTTGCAAATACAAGCATAGGGCTTATGTAAGCCCATGCATATTATGGATGTCTGAGTAGGATTTTCCATAAGGCATTACTGTCTTTGATAATTACTCATAGGAAAGAATTTAAAACTCGTTTTTGATGATATGATATAAAAAAGTGTAAAATTCCTCATATCAAATGGGAATTTTAAGACAATATCATTTTAACTCAAGAGTAACAAGCATGTAGCGCAACTTACACATGTACTAATGCATGTTTACTCAATTCCAAAGATTATGTTGCGTTCAACGTAGGAGTTGCTGTACTCGATCTATGGTACTTACCAAGTATTCGTGTATATGAAAAGTGTTAACGTATAAAAGAGATAAAGCATTGGTTTTTTACCACATGTACGTGATAATTAAAAATAGAGAGTTTGATTCAGATTTGGGGGGGGGTGCTTTTTATGTTACATAAATAAATCTCTGTGTTTAAAGGTTCTTGGACACAGATTTGAAGTTAATATTTTCTATATAATATTACGACTTATAATAAATTTAATAGCATTTCACACAAAAATTAATTAAAAATCTTATTTCATTTAAAAGTTATTAAAACTTCAAATTTTTTGGCGGATTTGATTAACACATCCTTGCACTTTCACAAATTTTATTTTTTTTTCTTATTACTTAGATAATGTTGTAATCTTGCTGTGTATTAATAAGAAATATTAAGATTTATTAATTTTTGTGTGAAATGCTATTAAAATATATATAAAAAAAGGTTGACAGTGTAATATTTGTTCTTCTTTTAACACTATCTTTAAGGTGCACTAGAAGGGGTCTCATCACGACAGCTCTATATTAATATATATTTTGTATACAATTCATATACAAAAATACCGTAATCTCATGTGCCAAAAGGAGAAACACTTGCTGTGGCCTTTCGACATTTAGATATATCGTCGACGTATCGTCAATTAGCAATTTTATTCTTATTCTTATGTCGATACAATATCCTGGTGGGCTTCAAATAAAAAAAACCCACAGAGTCTGGCACATTTGTTTCATATTTGGATGTTTTACTTGAAAAAGACGTTAATGGTAATCTAACAACCAAGCTCCATGATAAACGTGATGATTTTAACTTTTCTATCGTCAACTTCCCTTACTTAAGCAGTGATATACCTTCATCACCTGCATACGGAGTTTATATATCTCAATCGATCCGATACGCAAGAGTAAGCTCTACGTATGAACAATTTCTACCTTTCGCTCGAATGATGTAACACTGTGAGTTATTAATAACTAGAAAAAGCGGCAAATTTTTTCTGTCTCTGGCATCAAGATTATTTCACTCCTATCGTTAACCATATCACCTACAACGATATTTTGATCACCTTTGATGTTTCGTACATATTAAGAACAGAAGAATGAATCCAATATATCCAGCAAAATCTTTTTCAAATGACATGGTTTAAAAATATTAAAGGGTGAATAATCAAAGCGTAAAAGAAATCAAATCCTTCCACATAACGCGTAATAGATTTAATTTTGTCCTTGAGCTTGAGATGTTCTTAAGGACGTTCGATCCTGAGATTTTGAGCGTATTTTGGTCAGGTCCTTTATTTATAAAATTCTGCATCATTTTTAAGTTCTTACATTAAATCTGAATTCTACAGTGCAAATTTAACTATATCCAATGAAAAAACTGCGATTAAATTCCATTCAAGTAGAATTAAGCTAGGGACTATATTTTGTGGCGGAAGTTTTTTTTTTAGACGAAAATGATCAGTTTTTACATTTTGAACTATAACAGTACTATTAATTTTGGATTCCTATTTTTCCATCCTGGTTGCACACAAAGCTGTTTTTTGCAGTGAAATGTGTTATACTGGTTCTAAAATATCTATCTAATTATTTCTTATGAATTCTATCAACAAAGTGTGACAAATATAGTCAATAAATTCTGAAAATCTGGAATAAAATTGAGCCAATTTTTACGTAAAATTGACACTTTTTTAGTAATATCTAAAAAATTTAAATCATATACCCCCACTTTTGATATTCTTTTCTAAATATTCAAGATAAAATTGACCTATTTGCTTAAAATCAGAAAAAAGTTTAAGACTTTAAAATAATTTTCTTGCTATTAAATTTTCAATGCCAGAAAAATCACTTTTTATTAGTGCAGAAAGGTCAAATAATTGAAACTTTTTCTTAGTCACAATTTTTAAGTGTCTTTGTTTAAACAAACTTAGAGTTCATTTTGTTTCATGCTTTAACTGGATAAAAATATTGGAGGGAAAACTTCAAAAATTTAATTTTTAATTAAGACACAAATTTCAGTGCAAGAAGGTCATATCAAATGTTCTGCAGCGCCAAAGGAAGCGTATTGACCCCCATTTATTTTATTTGAATTTTAATTAAGCTATGTATGTAGAACCTAAAAATATACTTGGCAAAAAAAGTTTAAGACTTTAAATATCAGGATCGAACGTCGTTAAGTATAGTGTAAGATTTTTTCTTTTTTCTTTTCCATTGTTCCTTTCTTTCAACGAATTTAATCAGTCTTTACATTAACATTTTAAATTGTAAGAAGCGTGTGCGATAACCTTTGCCAGGTCTTGTCAAAAAAATTGTACTCGCAATACTAAAAATATAGTCACTTAAAAAGTGAACAACATTCGATTAAGTATAAAGCCAAATTCGATTATTGCATACGTTTTTTACTAAAAAAAAATTCACTAGTGGAAATGAAAAAAAAAAGTTTTAAAGCCAAATACGAGTATGTCATCTTACGACTACCTGAATCTTTTACGCAGCATTCAGTTACTAAAAAGTGGAAAAGTTAAAATCTTCAAATTATCTATTTGTATACTTATAATGATGACACTTGTTTTCTATTAACGCATTATTCATTATAAATCTTTATATTTACATAACAGCATTAAATTAATAGTGACGATCCTAAGTTTGTTTCTTTTCCTGTTTTGTATTGATCGTGCCACAAAATTGCAGAAATCCTGATTGATATATTTTATTAATTTTTAATTATTTATATAAAGAAAATTTGTTTGATTCAATTTAATTATATACTACTAGCTTTAGATAACTCTAAAAATGCTGTAAGATACGAGAAAGCGAGGAAATTTTCATACGGACAGGGTATTTAAAAGCCAGGAGTGATAAATATCTTATTGAAACACAATCAATGAGATTGAACACAACTTACTGTAAATGTATTTTATTGAGCGCGCACGATATTTGTCGGAAACTGATTTTTGAATGAGTTAGCGTAGATTTGAATTAGCCCATTTCTCAATGTTCTTATTTATGCATGAGCAATACATTTAGCGTTGTACTTGAATTAGCGGAATTTCCTTTCCGCCAAAAGAGCTAAAAAGATAAAGCCAAATGTAATGCGTTTACAGTATTCTAACTTAGATTGTTCTCTCAAACACAAACAAAATGACAAAATAGTGATGTACAACCAACAATATTAACTTGTTTTTGTAGCATCCGGTGCTTGCAAACCCTTAGCAGCTCCTACAAATGGGCAAATAAACTGTGGAGATTCTACAATATTTTAGTGAGTATATTGCACCAGCTATGTAACTTACATGATAAACATAATGATAAAAATATATAGAAAATACCCATTTTAACATTAAGTAGTGTTTGAATTTCACCGTGAAATTAAGTAGACATGCAGGACTGACTGCTTAATGAAAGTTTTAAGTCGAACCAAAATCCTCTGGCTCGAAAAAAAATAATTCAAATTGTCTTAATGAATTTTCTTTTAATGATTATGTCATTATCGATGTTATTATGCCATAACTTTAATTCCGAATCTATATGCTTAGGAATACTATCGCATTACCTATCAATTCATTTCTAAAAGTATACTCCGTGGGGATCCGGGTTAGAATAGGTCCTCAGCCTCCCCTTGCTTGTCGTAAAAGGCGACTAAATGGGGCGGTCCTTCGGATGAGACCGTATAAACCGAGGCCCCGTGTCACAGCAGGTGTGGCACGATAAAGATCCCTCCCTGCTCAAAGGCCGTAAGTGCCGGGCATAGGCCTAAATTTGCAGCCCTTCACCGGCAATGGTGACGTCTCCATATCAGTGAAATATTCTGGAGAGGGACGTTAAATAGTATACAATCAATCAATCAGTCAATCTAAAAGTATAAGTTGATCCAAGAAAGATTTATCAAATATATGTATTTTAATGAAAGGAAAATTATTATTCGTCCAATCTGGCTTCATTGCGTACAAATCTGTTCGTCCATGGTAAAATATGTGTTGTGTGTCTCGGGCCGTCAGACACAAGCTTATTTCAAAGACTTCCATTATTTCGGCTATAAAAAAAAACTATTGTGCAGTAGCATGAAAACACATTATTAAGCCATTGACATTGCATGGTTTCCTCAAATGAGTTAGAAGAAATTATTTGTAGACATTATATTTGTTCTGTAAATTTTTTCAGCCGCTGTACAGCCCATTGTATCTCTGGTTATCAGTTTGATAATGGAGACACCACAATACAGAAGGACTGTGATCCCTTGACGGGGATGTTTTTTGATGGCCCAACATTTCCAAAATGCATACGTAATGATTCAAACCCTTTCGGTCTCGGACGTAAGTATCCTGATCTTTTTTTAATTTCAGACTCATGATATCCTGTTTAATTATACATTAAGATATGTGTAGGTATTGTGTAAAGCTTTGACAAATTTACTCCGCATTAAAATTAATAAGATTGGTTAAAATGACTGTGCAAATAAAAATTTATTTACAATTGTGTGTTTATTTTTATATATACTCAAAGAAAAAAACTCTTACTATATGTTTGATAATCAAAATAGAGTTAAATTCTTCACATCAATGTACGGAAATAAAACACATCTTAAGTGCACGTGAATACATGTACATGTATACACTCAGTTCCAAAAGTGATTGAGTTCAATGTATAGAAAATACTTTTTTTTAAATGAAAAGTATTCACGTATTTAAAAGAAGTATTTTCTAAATGAATCCAAAATGCAATACACAAGCTCACAAGATGCACAGAAAAAGCATTGATTAAAAAGTGATAATTGATATGAGAGAGAGAATTGAATTCGGATTTGGGGGGCTTGTTGTGTTACATAGATAAGTCTTTGTCTTTAGTATGTATTTTTACCTAGTTGTAACAGTATTTTTTTTTACATACCATGCGGGCGCGTGAAATGAGTTAAATGACTGATATACTTTATATAGCCATAACTTTTACATTTTTTGATGAAATGCTTTGAAACTCATTTCATGAGGATATATTAATAGTGTTAATATAATGACACTGTCAAATTAGCACGAGCTCACGCGCATGCACGTGCGCTTTGCTCTGATTGGCTGAAACTAAAATCTCAATATCTCTTTTGTTTTTTGACGAAACCCTTTCAAATTTTAAACATAGTCATGCATTAGGATATCCTACAACATGAGATATAAAAAAAAATTCATGAAATCACGCGCATGCACGTGTGCTGCAATCTGATTGGCTGAAACTTTAAATGGCTATATCTCCTTTATTTATTGACGAAATGCTTTGAAATTTAAAACATAGTCATGCATTAGGTTATCCTGCAATATGATAAACAAAAAAAATTCAAGAAATCATGCGCATGGACGTGTGCTGCAATCTGATTGGTTGAAAATTTAAATAACTATATCTCCTTTGTTTTTTGATGAAATGCTTTGAAATTTAAAACATAGTCATACATAAAGATATCCTACAATATGATTTAGAAAAATATTCATGAAATCACGCGCATGCACGTGTGCTGCAATCTGATTGGCTGAAACTTGAAATGGTTATAACTCCCTTGTTTTTCAACCAAACAGGATGGGATTTAGAACATAGATTAATATAAGGGACTCCTACAAGAAGGTACGTGAGTGCATTTGGGACGAGTGAAATTAAAAATACCTTTGAATGAGTGATTTTTAATACTTTTGGACTGAATGCTTTAATCAATAGTATATTAAAATATATAGGTAGTGTAGTCAAGATGATATGGTAATAACGCACATGCATTCACATGCGCACGAGTGCAATGCTAAAATTTGAATATAATTGGTATCCCTCTGGGAAAACATTGACGAAGTCAAAAATGCACAAAATTTGTCTTTTTTCATGAAGCTAACAGGGAATAGGGCACCAAAAGGGAGTTGGGGAGCGTTTGGGGAACATTTGTAACGGTTCCCGTTACAATTAGCACTAGTTATTATTATTATGTCGCCCCGAACGAAGTCGGGGACGACATATTGATATTGTACGCATGTTTTTTTATCCAGGCTGTTTCTCGGAGATGGCTGGGGCAATCTTCCTGAAACTTTCCTCAAAGGACGATCACTGGTTGTAGTTGTGCAGTGAGGTCGTTCAGTTCCAATATGTCTACCGTTGCCATGGAAACCTGTAAAAAGCGACGAATTTTGTCCGAGAGTGTTCTCTCTGGTCCCTTAAACGTTCGTAATGAAACTCTTTTTATTTTAATGATTAGTATCTGTAGTTGTGTGCCTTGCATTTAAAATTTTCAAATACTCGATTATTGCCATGGAAACCAGGGGAATGTTAAAATTCTTTAATTTTGATTTTCTCAATAACTACTCAAGCAATCGTTTTGAAACTTTCAATGTTAATTCCTTGCAATGTGTCAAAGTGATTTTTACTTTTAAAATAATTGTAATGAGTCGCTCACAGTTGTCATAGAAACGAAACAGAAAAAAAGGTTAATATGTACACATGTGTTCTCCAAGGTCTAGGTCAAAGGGTCAAAGTTCTTCGTGTCCAATAAAAGTTCTTTTCACAAGGATTACATATTTGAAATACGAAAGCCCTAGCCCTTACCGTTCAACCGTAAGGTACTATGTTCAAGACGACCCCCCCCCCCCTTTTGAAGCGCACTGCCAGTTAGAATACACATATCTAACATATACAACTTACAAGTAACGTTTTAAAAGTTTCATTCATAAAATTCAGTTCTCCTGATGTGATTTCATAGTTTGCCAACCTTCATTCTTCTTCTGTCTTGTCTCTAGATTTTATAATTATTTTATTTTATCTATATATAAAATAACGATTGTCAACTGCATTTATTAGCATTTCGCATTTTTTTGTATATCTATAACTTGTATATTATTAATTTCATTAGATAGTGCAAGTATAAATTCGAAAATTGGTACGTTATTTCCATAGTTTTTATTCATTCATAAATCCTAGGATCCGCTCCTACAAGTGCGCTAAGCCTTGATCACTACTGTAAACAAAACATTCATCTCGCCGAAAATGTTCACGATTCCGCTAAACTGAGAAAGTTTACACATGATTTATCATCTCATAAGAAACATCAGCCCTGTACAATGCAGAAATGCTCGAATTAAAGGGGAAAATTCAGGAGTTATTGATGTGAAAAATTCAGGAGTTATTATGTCGCCCCGAACGAAGTCGGGGACGACATATTGATATTGTACGCATGTTTTTTTATCCAGGCTGTTTCTCGGAGATGGCTGGGGCAATCTTCCTGAAACTTTCCTCAAAGGACGATCACTGGTTGTAGTTGTGCAGTGAGGTCGTTCAGTTCCAATATGTCTACCGTTGCCATGGAAACCTGTAAAAAGCGACGAATTTTGTCCGAGAGTGTTCTCTCTGGTCCCTTAAATGTTCGTAATGAAACTCTTTTTATTTTAATGATTAGTATCTGTAGTTGTGTGCCTTGCATTTAAAATTTTCAAATACTCGATTATTGCCATGGAAACCAGGGGAATGTTAAAATTCTTTAATTTTGATTTCCTCAATAACTACTCAAGCAATCGTTTTGAAACTTTCAATGTTAATTCCTTGCAATGTGTCAAAGTGATTTTTACTTTTAAAATAATTGTAATGAGTCGCTCACAGTTGTCATAGAAACGAAACAGAAAAAAGGTTAATATGTACACATGTGTTCTCCAAGGTCTAGGTCAAAGGGTCAAAGTTCTTCGTGTCCAATAAAAGTTCTTTTCACAAGGATTACATATTTGAAATACGAAAGCCCTAGCCCTTACCGTTCAACCGTAAGGTACTATGTTCAAGACGACCCCCCCCCCCTTTTGAAGCGCACTGCCAGTTAGAATACACATATCTAACATATACAACTTACAAGTAACGTTTTAAAAGTTTCATTCATAAAATTCAGTTCTCCTGATGTGATTTCATAGTTTGCCAACCTTCATTCTTATTCTGTCTTGTCTCTAGATTTTATAATTATTTTATTTTATCTATATATAAAATAACGATTGTCAACTGCATTTATTAGCATTTCGCATTTTTTTGTATATCTATAACTTGTATATTATTAATTTCATTAGATAGTGCAAGTATAAATTCGAAAATTGGTACGTTATTTCCATAGTTTTTATTCATTCATAAATCCTAGGATCCGCTCCTACAAGTGCGCTAAGCCTTGATCACTACTGTAAACAAAACATTCATCTCGCCGAAAATGTTCACGATTCCGCTAAACTGAGAAAGTTTACACATGATTTATCATCTCATAAGAAACATCAGCCCTGTACAATGCAGAAATGCTCGAATTGAAGGGGAAAATTCAGGAGTTATTGATGTGAAAAAATCAGGAGTTATTATGTCGCCCCGAACGAAGTCGGGGACGACATATTGATATTGTACGCATGTTTTTTTATCCAGGCTGTTTCTCGGAGATGGCTGGGGCAATCTTCCTGAAACTTTCCTCAAAGGACGATCACTGGTTGTAGTTGTGCAGTGAGGTCGTTCAGTTCCAATATGTCTACCGTTGCCATGGAAACCTGTAAAAAGCGACGAATTTTGTCCGAGAGTGTTCTCTCTGGTCCCTTAAACGTTCGTAATGAAACTCTTTTTATTTTAATGATTAGTATCTGTAGTTGTGTGCCTTGCATTTAAAATTTTCAAATACTCGATTATTGCCATGGAAACCAGGGGAATGTTAAAATTCTTTAATTTTGATTTTCTCAATAACTACTCAAGCAATCGTTTTGAAACTTTCAATGTTAATTCCTTGCAATGTGTCAAAGTGATTTTTACTTTTAAAATAATTGTAATGAGTCGCTCACAGTTGTCATAGAAACGAAACAGAAAAAAGGTTAAGATGTACACATGTGTTCTCCAAGGTCTAGGTCAAAGGGTCAAAGTTCTTCGTGTCCAATAAAAGTTCTTTTCACAAGGATTACATATTTGAAATACGAAAGCCCTAGCCCTTACCGTTCAAACGTAAGGTACTGTGTTCAAGACGACCCCCCCCCCCTTTTGAAGCGCACTGCCAGTTAGAATACACATATCTAACATATACAACTTACAAGTAACGTTTTAAAAGTTTCATTCATAAAATTCAGTTCTCCTGATGTGATTTCATAGTTTGCCAACCTTCATTCTTCTTCTGTCTTGTCTCTAGATTTTATAATTATTTTATTTTATCTATATATAAAATAACGATTGTCAACTGCATTTATTAGCATTTCGCATTTTTTTGTATATCTATAACTTGTATATTATTAATTTCATTAGATAGTGCAAGTATAAATTAGAAAATTGGTACGTTATTTCCATAGTTTTTATTCATTCATAAATCCTAGGATCCCCCGCTCCTACAAGTGCGCTAAGCCTTGATCACTACTGTAAACAAAACATTCATCTCGCCGAAAATGTTCACGATTCCGCTAAACTGAGAAAGTTTACACATGATTTATCATCTCATAAGAAACATCAGCCCTGTACAATGCAGAAATGCTCGAATTGAAGGGGAAAATTCAGGAGTTATTGATGTGAAAAATTCAGGAGTTATTATGTCGCCCCGAACGAAGTCGGGGACGACATATTGATATTGTACGCATGTTTTTTTTATCCAGGCTGTTTCTCGGAGATGGCTGGGGCAATCTTCCTGAAACTTTCCTCAAAGGACGATCACTGGTTGTAGTTGTGCAGTGAGGTCGTTCAGTTCCAATATGTCTACCGTTGCCATGGAAACCTGTAAAAAGCGACGAATTTTGTCCGAGAGTGTTCTCTCTGGTCCCTTAAACGTTCGTAATGAAACTCTTTTTATTTTAATGATTAGTATCTGTAGTTGTGTGCCTTGCATTTAAAATTTTCAAATAATCGTTTATTGCCATGGAAACCAGGGGAATGTTAAAATTCTTTAATTTCGATTTTCTCAATAACTACTCAAGCAATCGTTTTGAAACTTTCAATGTTAATTCCTTGCAATGTGTCAAAGTGATTTTTACTTTTAAAATAATTGTAATGAGTCGCTCACAGTTGTCATAGAAACGAAACAGAAAAAAGGTTAAGATGTACACATGTGTTCTCCAAGGTCTAGGTCAAAGGGTCAAAGTTCTTCGTGTCCAATAAAAGTTCTTTTCACAAGGATTACATATTTGAAATACGAAAGCCCTAGCCCTTACCGTTCAAACGTAAGGTACTATGTTCAAGACGACCCCCCCCCCTTTTGAAGCGCACTGCCAGTTAGAATACACATATCTAACATATACAACTTACAAGTAACGTTTTAAAAGTTTCATTCATAAAATTCAGTTCTCCTGATGTGATTTCATAGTTTGCCAACCTTCATTCTTCTTCTGTCTTGTCTCTAGATTTTATAATTATTTTATTTTATCTATATATAAAATAACGATTGTCAACTGCATTTATTAGCATTTCGCATTTTTTTGTATATCTATAACTTGTATATTATTAATTTCATTAGATAGTGCAAGTATAAATTAGAAAATTGGTACGTTATTTCCATAGTTTTTATTCATTCATAAATCCTAGGATCCGCTCCTACAAGTGCGCTAAGCCTTGATCACTACTGTAAACAAAACATTCATCTCGCCGAAAATGTTCACGATTCCGCTAAACTGAGAAAGTTTACACATGATTTATCATCTCATAAGAAACATCAGCCCTGTACAATGCAGAAATGCTCGAATTGAAGGTGGCATGTCAGATTCGTTTTCCGGCAGAACCTTTTAAAATGAAAGTGAAATTTCAGAGTTCTAACTGGCGTTATAATACACAAAATAATTCGGCTGATCTTCTTAAAAAATTACATTTGCCAAGCTTTTTTGGTAGGAATGATACTGCCAATTAACAAGTATGAGGCTCAGTTCAGTACATCTGCCCAATTTCTTTTATGCAAGTCTGCAAATTTAGGAACTTGTAATTTTTTTCTGCACTATTTTCTTCTCCTACCGATTCTAAAAATAAAATGGGATGTACCCAATTAAGGTCTTCCGTTTCCAACGGAAAGGACTGATACGACTCGATGGTTGTCCAAGCTTAGCTAATGGACCATTGTTTTAGTGATGATAAAAATGAAAGTCTTGTCCAGTACGGGGCGACATATGCTATTGCTTGCAATAGCACACTTTCTAGTTATTATTATTAGGGTCTTCCGCTTCCTTCGGAAGACCCTACTGTTATTCTACTGTTTCTTATTATTATTTTATTTTTTTTTTCCCGCTCGATTTTTGACAGGCGATTTCTCAAAGACCTTTGGACTGATTTTTATGAAACTTTCAGGTTAGATACCTTGTAATTAAACCTATTTACACCTGTTTTCAATTTTTTGATGCATGCCTTTAATTGTGAGTTATTGCCCTTTAATTGATAATTTTGATGTCTCGTTTCCACTAAAAATCTCAAGAACGACGTAAGATATTTACACGAAAGTTGGAGAACTTGTAGCCAATACATTGTAGATGTGCAGAACGATAAAATTATAAGCTGATTTCCTAAAGTTTGGAAGCTATAAAACGGCAAATTTTAGTATTTTTTTTTCTTGAATTTTTGCTACTTTTTGTGTAATAACTTTTGAACCGAGAATAATTTGGTAAGAAATATATAACAAAAGTTGTGTGTAATTACGAGAGCTTTCATATTAGATTAATGAAAAGGGGCTGGCCCCTATAATTAGGGGTTAATAGCTCATACACGTTTTTTCTGATAGCTAAAAATATTGGTATATTATGAAAAAGTTTGACTGAAATAATTTCGAACTTATAAAATCTTGTCATTTGATATAAAAAGAAATAAACTTCCAGCTATATTTAATTGTTTTTTATATAAAACAAGTACATGTATGTGAGAAACCTTTCAGGAACAAGTTGTCTACTATAGCCAGCCAAGCCTTTACTGCATACATGTGCACATTTTTAGTTGATGCATCTAAAAGATATAGTTTTGATTCGGTGTTTCTTTGTTTTCTTTTTATTCAAATAATTTTAAAATGTGATGATGTACACAACAATAAATAGTACCTAGTTTAGAGGATTTTTTCGCGCTTGTTTGTAAACAACGCGCGGCATTGTGGGAAATAGGAAGGTACTAAAGACGCGATGTACTAAACACTTATTTGACCTGATTCAAATTTGTCTGTAAATGTTCCAAACAATTGAATTTTTGTATAGCATATGCCTCGAAGTCATAAAGTCTGTACATAAGTAATTTAAAATACTCAATATTACCATTTAATTAAAAATTAAAACGTCAGGTAAATATCAGGTCTCTAGTATATCCCGTTTTTAGTGTGCCCCTTCGAGTAGACGTCGGACACATGTTTGTCACGGTTTACAAACTGAAAATAAAATGATTTGTGAAGTTGAACATTTTCTCACAAAGAATCCGTTTGTAGACATGCACACTCATTTAATCTGGAGCTACGAAGTACTTTGTCACTTCTCTGGAACATTATTCTAAGCAGAATTATCCCGATTCATATATTCTAAGAATCTTGTGTGAATTGTTTACGAGGAAATTCTGACTGTCACATTAACAAGGATGAACACTCTTGACTCTGCTTCGGATTCCCCATTGATAATTGTATCGAGTGATGAAAGAGCTGACGGCGACATTTTAATGTATGATTGGCTTGGACCATTGGAATGAAGGTTAGAATATTTTTATTACTTAAAATTTACACTACTGATTACATGTCAGTGACGTACATTGATGTTATTAGAAATACACAGACACACCGATATATTATCTGTTTTACAGTTCAGACGCTCTCTGTTTGCCTTGTAAATCCCCACAGCTTTATATTTTATTTTTTTTAAATTTGAGGATGTAATTTCAACAGTCCTACTATCTATCATAGTGATCATACTCTATAATTTAAACTGCACTTAATGTTACAGAATATATTCAACTAATTATATATTGACAGTGTGACTGTAAGGGTGAGGGCAGATACTTATTTAGTTTTAATTTAGATTGTGCTTGTCAAGCCGCATTTGACATTTGGTGCATCCATGCTCAATGTTCACACTGAGAGTTTATTCAAATGTTTAATTCGAATGAATTCACTGCTCGTTAAATTACTTCCCATTAGCTCCATGTGAACATGAGTTAGGATAGCTAACTCAAATTAAATAGAAATGAATTTTGAATGTAGCTTAAACATGTTAAAGAAGCTAAGCACTGTGTGTCCAAAGTATACTGCAGAAAAATTGTGTGGAGCAATGTGCAAGTCACAATCTTCTTTTGCCAAGGTGTTATCATAAGAGCTCGCATTATGGGCAGGGATTTGTGCTGCTGTCTGGACTCGCTATTAATAGATGTTCTCAAAAAGTCTTAATTATTTAATATCATACTTTACTGACAAAAAAGGACAAATATTGCTCAGTTAAATTGCAAAAGAAATTTGTTTTAAAAAATTGAAATAATAGAAAGTTTGCATTTTTGTTTGATAAGACTGCTGTAATGGTTTAATGTTTGTTTATTTGCCTTAATCATACATTTTTCAGTCATTTCATGGTGCCACCACTTGGGATGGTATTAGCTGCAAATATAGACTTGTACTCAGCACTTATTGCCTTTAAGAAGTATGAGATCCATTTTGTGCTAACACCTACGGTGACACAGAATCTTGGTTTATGCAGTCTCATAGGAGTAACCTGTCTAAAGCATTTAGCAATGGGATTGGAACCTGCGACGTAAGGTTCAGCTTCTTATTGATACTTTGATTTATAATATTTATTTGAGAATTTCACTCATTCACATACTTAGAGATGTTGATATATATTGTTGAATAGCATCAATTTAGACCTTTAATTAGCTAAGTAAACATGTACTGTGAGGTTTTTAAGGTCTCATTCATTTTATATGCCAGATGCATGTTAAGGAACATTACTGCATAAATGTTTTTGTCTTAAATTTGAAGCTTTTTACTAATATAGAGATATGTTAGTTTTAAACCTCTTCAAATTAGGGTAGACCTTTACTTTAAACTCAGCAATGTAAGTGTGTTGTGTGAACTTGTGTTAGCGAGACAGTGTGTTGTATGAATTTGTGTTAGCAAGGCAGTGTGTTTTGTGAACTTAATTGTGTTAGCCTGACAGTGGGTTGTGTGAATTCTTGTTAGCTTGACAATGTGTTGCGTAAACTCGTGTTAGCGGGAGAGCGTGTTGTGTAAAATCGTGTATAAAGTGTAAGTGTGACAGTGTGTTGTGTAAACTCGTGTTAGCTAGACAGAGTGTTGATTGAACTCGTATTAGCGAGACTTCGTGTTGTGTAAACTGGTGTTAGTGAGACTGCGTGTTGTGTAAACTCGTGTTAGCGAGACTGCGTGTTGTGTAAACTCATGTTAGCGAGACAGCGTGTTGTGTGTATTCTTATTAACGAGTCAGCATGTTGTGTGAATTTGTGTTAGCGTGACAGTGTGTTGTGTGAACTTGTTATCCTGAAAACTTGTCGTGTGAACTGGTGTTAGAGAGATAGTGTGTTGTGTGAACTCGTGTTAGCAAGATTGCATATTGTGTGAACTCGTGTTAGCCAGACTGCGTGTTATGTGAACTCGTGTTAGCGATATTGCATGTTTTTTGAATTTGTGTTAGCGTGACAGTGTGTTGTGTGAACTCTTGTTAGCCTGACAGTGTGTTGTGTGAAATGGTATTAGGATGACAGTGTGTTGTGTGAAATGGTATTAGGATGACAGTGTGTTATCGCAACAGCGTTTGGTGCGAACTTGTGTTAGTGAATAGTGAGACAGCCTGTTTTGAGAATTCGTGTTAGCGTGACAGTGTGTTGTGTGAACTCGTGTTAGCCTGACAGTGTGTTGTGTGAAATGGTATTAGAATGACAGTGTGTTGTGTGAAATGGTATTAGGATGACAGTGTGTTATCGCAACAGCATTTGGTGCGAACTTGTGTTAGTGAATAGTGAGACAGCCTGTTTTGTGACTTTGTGTTAGCGTGACAGTGTATTGTGTAAACTCGTGTTAGCGTGACAGTGTATTGTGTAAACGCGTGTTAGTGAGACTGCGTGTTGTGTAAACTCATGTTAGGGTGACAGTGTGTTGTGTGAATTCATCTAAGCGTGACAGTGTGTTGCGTGTACTTGTGTTAGCTAGACAGTGTGTTGTATGAACTCGTATTAGCGAGACTGCGTGTTGTGTAAAACTTGTGTTAGCGAGACAGCGTGTTGTGTGAACTTGTGTTAGCGAGACAGCGTGTTTGTGAATTCGTGTTAGCATGATAGTGCAGGGTTCTCCATCATTTAAAATGTTACTGTGTTGCAGAGTTTAAGCGAAGCACTAAAAGTTCGCGGTATTTTCGCGATCAAATTCGCAACTGAAACTGATTCATTAGAATAACAAAAGAATACATTCACACACTTTTTAAAAACAATTCGGTAATTCGTTACGCAAATGGTTTGGTCGTACATATTTATAAAAGTAAAAACACATGTTCTGAAAAGCAGAGGAAATTCTGGTCGATACAGTCGAAGTACTCTACATTTTTATAGTATATTTGCCATGAGTTTTAGTCATTTTTCTACTGTAGATCATATTACCGAATTACATAAAAAAGTAACTTCAGAACAGTAAAATACTTTTAAGAGTTCCTTATTTGAACATGTTGAAAATTTTAAGCAATTCATTTACATCAATGAAATGACTTCGGTACGATTTTATGGTTCACTTACAGTACTAAAATAATCCTACAGTAGAGCCGTGGTTCTTTAGAAAAGACACGTTTAAATATTTTTAAAAATAATTCAATCTATTTCAATGCAAATACCAATTAACCGTTACATGGAAGTGTGAAAACAAATAATTTGTCATTGTTCCTTCTTGCGTAAAGTCCGGCGAGGGTCTAGGAGATAATTGATTATGCAAGGTGAAGCCCCCCTAGTAATTAAGTGTTCCACATTTTCGAATTGAAAGACGGTAGAATTGTATGATTAAAATCTCACTAAGTTGGAGAGAATTTATGTTTAGATTTTCTAATTATCACAGATTTTACTGTGTCGGCAAAATTTTTACTGTGTCGCAAGCATTAAATTTGAATCGTTACTGTGTCGGAGAAAATTTTACTGTGTCGGAAGCAACACAGTAAAACAGCTCATGGAGAACCCTGATAGTGTGTTCTGTGAACTCGTGTTAGCCTGATATTTTGTTGTGTGAAATTGTATTAGCGTGACAGTGTTTTGTGTGTTAGTGTGACAGCGTGTGGTGCGAACTTGTGTAGTGCGAAAGTGTTTTTCAGTGTTGTGATGGCGAGCTGTGTGATAGCCTAATGGCGTCTTTTGTGTCGGTAAGATGGCACGCTTTTATGAAAGTGCTATTGAGCTTTAGCAAGTGGCCCTATCTGGACACGCCTTATTATAATTGATCAGTTCTCAGATATACAGTGAATTACCGGTATTATTGTCACCATGAAATCAGCATTTACAGTTGCAATTACCTAGTTAGTAATCATAAGATATTGGTTTGTCAGTTTTAAAATTATGGTGTTCCAATGATGTGAAGTTGCAGTGTGTTAGCATGTTAATTTCAACAGACTGCCACTCCAATGCAGCTTTAAACAACACGCTGCTGTGTTAACACAAAACAAAATATCATGCAAACACAACTTTAAACAATCTGTTGAGTGTTAGCTTCACTGCATGTTGGATTCAGTGTGCTGGCATATTATCACTGACGTACATGCTAGCACATTGTCACCTCGTGCTAGTATGTTGTCATAAATACTCTAGCACATTATCCTAAACCCACTAGTGCATGATTACTTTGCACTTGTATGTTGTCTTATTAGGGAATAGCATAAATGACTGCCTTAATTGGTGTAAACTTCTTTTAATTGATGAAAGAGTACATTAAAGTTTACAAATTATACACAGAAAATGTGACAATATCTTATCTCTCAATTTGATAATCTAATTTATAATCTCATGAATTGCACTTTTTATTAGTAAAAGAATTATAGATTAAAAAATTTCAATTTCTTTTGGATAGGTGTGACTCATCTGAAAACTGAATTTTGATACCAAGCATGACCATGATTTGCCAGAAGATCATCTGTTTGGATGTGACATGGAATAAACAGCATAGTGAAAATAAGTCAAGTTTTGGTTTGTGAAGACAATTTTTAAACACACTGTGTATCATTTTTAAATTTTGATTTGACAACATAAATCCACAAATATGAACATATCAATTGCTCTCAGTTTTTCAAGTGAAATAGTTTTTGTAACAGAAATACATGTACCAGTAATTACATTGGAATAAATGTTATTTTTAAATATAATAATATTTTGTTTGTGTAGCATGTTGACCTCTTTATTACCGTCTTCCTTGGAAGACGGTATTATATAGTTGAAGTTTTTTACAGTCTTCGGATTATGCACTTCCTCTCTTTTGTGATTGGTAGAAATTGCATGATGAGAAAATTTTCAATTATTTCATTGGTTGAAATGCTGTTAAAGGCAAGGGAGATAACTTTCTGATGATCTATTTTTCGTACGACTTAACAATTTTGCAAGATTTCCAATCTTAAAAAAATGACAAAACGAACAACAAAATCAGCAGTAATTATTTCCTGATAACATGATATTTTTTGTAGCAATAAATAAGAATGTCTCTTTAATTTCATTATAAATAAAATTTGATAGTTATTGCTTGCAGGCTTTACAATTTGTGTTACATGTATTATTCTTTTTTTCCCTTTCTTGTTTGAAGAAGGGAATGAAATCAGCCGAGGTTTGCCGTAAGCTCTCGGCCAGGCAAAGTTTACGGCCGAGCGACAACCGTGGTAGTGCTAATGCCCGTAAAAAGCTAATTTAGAAATACAAAATCAAGAAATTCAAAAGAATTATACGGCCTGTTAAGTATAGATCTGTTTACTGTTTAAAATTGTTGCTAAAGACGGTAAGCTTTTTTGAAAAGCTCTACTTGTTAAGGTCTTTCCTTTCAAAGTTTAGACTTACTTATTCTAATGATTAAGATAGATCCTCTGTCTTCAGCAGGAATAGAAGATCTTGTAATACATGTATGTGTATTTTTTACAGTATAATGTAAAAAAAAATGTTATTTTGGCACATACAACTAATTAAAGGCATAAACATGTGTATGATTCCAAGGAATTCAGTACATAGGGCATGTACATGTAGTTTTCTAAAACAAGATTGAAGAGATGTCCAGTCGCATTTCAATGTCAACTCCAAAACTGTGCCTGTTGCGTATTTATTAGCCCATCTGAGCTAAAGGAACCAGTAAATTTTTTAAAAACATAATTTTATCCATTATCATCATTGTCTAAAATTTCACAATATCATTTTCCAGAACCAAAGTGAAACTTGGCACAGAGCATCCTTAGTGTAGGGGATTCAAATTGTTCTTATGCAGGGCAATACCTTCAAAGAGATTTGTTTCTTTAATGCTGTAAATGTATAATATTTAGCTTGTACAATATTTGGTGGAAATTGACTTTTGAATAAGTTAGCGTAGATATTCTTATTTATGTTTATGTACAAGACTTTTAGCTTTGTACTTGATTTAGTGATTGCTGCATTCCGCCAAAGCCGCTAAAAAAGAATACACAGCCATATGTAATATGTTTACAATATACCTTTCAGAGAATTTTACACTCCTATTGAGGTACCACCAGTTGCTAGTGGAAAGCTGCAAATTCGAAACATACACAAAACATTTCTGTGCGTTTATTATAAAAGTATTGTTCTACTTACTGATTGCAACTAATGAAGATTGTTCATCATTATTGTAAATACATTTGGATTTTTTGAATTATTATATAATTTGTTTATTTTATTTACCTAGTTATATTGTATATTAAATGATTTTAAAGCGATTTTTTAGATGGTAATGTAGCAAAACACTTATGTTTCTGTAGTATGACACGTTTCACAAACATGATATATCCGATATCAAAAGTCATAATATTGGAAGTTAAACTGTTGTGGATACGATTTCAAGAATGCTGTTAGAGAGAGTACCCTTTAGACCTCATGCTCACACCAAATTAAAGAATTCAAGTAAGGGTTTCTGAGACAAATCGAAAAAGAGAATGTTAGCAAAGTTGACAATCTAGACAGAAACATTTAATCTTTTGCTTATCGCTAGGAAGGAAGACCCACTCGTTGCTTTGCAACGAGCTTTGCTCTAGTTATTATTATTATTATTCCTGGGAAAATTTTGTCCTCGAGTGATCTTGTAAACTACACATCCGAGTAAGGTAAAATGTTTTTAGGGTCAGTAGACATGTTATGTAGATTTGCCGAACAAAGGTCATTTCGTGCAACACGAAAAATGACGATTTAATTGATATCGGCGTAACTTTTTACATTTTTGATGAAATGCTTTGAAACTGATACTGAAAGGATATATTAGTAGCATAGACAATAAGACATGGTCTAAATAGCAAGATCTCTCGCGCATGCACGTGCGCTTCGCTCTGATTGGCTGAAACTAAAGTCTCAATATCTTTCTTGTTTTTTGATGAAATCCTTTGAAATTTTGAACATAGCCATGCATTAGGATATCCTACAAAATGATATATAAAAATTATCATGAAAACACGTGCATGCACGTGCGCTGCAATCTGATTGGCTGAAACTTTAAATAGCTATAACTCCCTTGGTTTTCAACCAAACAGGATGTGATTTGTAACATAGATAGATATAATATACTTCTACAAGAAGGTATGGTCACCATGCACATCCATACACATGCGTGAACAAACGCTGCAATCTGATTGGCTGAAACTTTAATCAGCTATAACTCCCTTGGTTTTCAACCAAACGGAGTGGGATTTAGAACATAGATAGATGTAATGGACTTCTACAAGAAGGTATGTCACCATGCTCATGTATGCACGTGCGTGCACGTGAAATGAATAAAATCAAAAATACTCTTGAATGAGCGTATTCTTTAATACTTTTGGATTAAATACTTTAATATTTAGTATATTAAAGTATACAGATTGTGTAGAAAAGATGATATGGTCATTACGCACATGCATTCACATGCGCACGCGTGCAGTGCTAAATTTGAATGAACTTGGTACCCTTCTGGGTTAACGTTGTTAAAGTCTCAAATGCATAAAGTTTGTCTTATTTAATGAAGCCTACAGGGAATATGGCACCAAAAGTGAGATGGGGAGCGTTTGGGGAACATCTGTAACGGTCCCCGTTACAATTAGCACTAGTTTCCATTCTTATGTCGATACAATATCCTGGTGAGCTTCAAATAAAAAAAACCCTCAGAGTATTGCATATCTGTTTCATATTTGGATATTTTACTTGAAAAAGACGTTAATGGTAATCTAACAACTAAGCTATATGATAAACGTGATGACTTTAACTTTTCTATCGTCAACTTCCCTTACTTAAGCAATATACCTTCATCACCTGCATACGGAGTTTATATATCTCAATTGATCCGATACGCAAGAGTAAGCTCTACGTATGAACAATTTCTACCTTTCGCACGAATGATGTGACACTGTGAGTTATTAATAACTAGAAAAAGCGGCATTTTTTTCTGTCTCTTGCATCAAGATTATTTCACTCCTATCATTAACCATATATCCTACACTAATATTTTGATCACCTTTGATGTTTCGTACATATTAAGGACAGAAGAATGAATCCAATATATCCAGCAATATCTTTTTCAAATGACATGGTCTAAAAATATTAATGGGTAAATAATCAAAGCGTAAAAGAAATCAAATCCTTCCACATAACGCGTAATAGATTTAATATTGTCCTTGAGCTTGAGATGTTCTTAAGTATAGTGTAAGATCTTTTCTTTTTTCTTTTCCATTGCTCCTTTCTTTAAACGAATTTAATCAGTCATTACATTAACATTTTAAATTGTAAGAAGCGTGTGCGATAACCTTTGCCAGGTCTTGTCCAAAATTTTGTGCTCGCAATACTAAAAATGTAGTCACTTAAAAAGTGAACAACATTCGATTAAGTATAAAGCCAAATTCGATTACTGCATACGTTTTTTACTAAAAAAAACTTCACTAGTGGAAATGAAAAAAAAGTTTTAAAGCCAAATACGAGTATGTCATCTTATGACTAACTGAATCTTTTACGCAGCATTCAGTTACTAAAAAGTGGAAAAGTTAAAATCTTCAAATTATCTACTTGTATACTTATAATGATAACACTTGTTTTCTATTAACGCATTATTCATTATAAATCTTTATATTTACATAACAGCATTAACTTAGTAGTGACGATCCTACGTTTGTTTCTTTTCCTGTTTTGTATTGATCGTACCACAGAATTTTAGAAATCCTGATTGATATATTTTATTATTTTGTATATATTTAAATAAAGAAAAATTGTTTGATTCAATTTAATTATACACTACTAGCTTTTAACCCCCCCTCCTCCCCGTCCTTATGAAAATCTCGCTCTGTCTTTCTCTTTATCCTACAGCGTACAGTGCTCTTGGATTGTGTATACTTCTTCTTTTTGCTTCGATGAACATATACAGGGGCGTACTGGGAAATATACTGGGATATACCATAGGTGTCTATAGGAAACACTAGTCATATACAGTTGCATACTATAGGAGTACCTGGGTATATTGTAGGTCACTGTGGCATGCTGGGGATACATACCGTGGCATACTGAGATTTACTGAATGTACAGAGCATTCATACCGTATCATACTGTGGATATATCGTAGATAACTCTAAAAATGCTGTAAGATACGAGAAAGACAGGAAATTTTCATACGGATAGGGTATTTAAAAGCCAGGAGTGATAAATATCGTACTGAAACACAATCAATGAGATTGAACACAACTTACTGTAAATGTATTTTATTGAGCGCGCACGATATTTGTCGGAAACTGATTTTTGAATGAGTTAGCGTAGATTTGAATTAGCCCATTTCTCAATGTTCTTATTTATGCATGAGCAATACATTTAGCGTTGTACTTAAACGGAATTTCATTTCCGCCAAAAACGCCAATAACATAAAGCCAAATGTAATGCGTTTACAGTATTCCAACTTAGATTGTTCTCTCAAACACAAACAAAATGACAAAATAGTTATGTACAACCAATAATATTGATTTGTTTTTGTAGCATCCGGTGCTTGCAAACCGTTACCAGCTCCTACAAATGGGCAGATAAACTGTGGAGATTCGACGATATTTTAGTGAGTATATTGCACCAGTTATGTAACTTCCATGATAAACATAATGATAAAAAATATATAGAAAATACCCATTTTAACATTAAGTAGTGTTTTGAATTTCACCGTAAAATTAAGTAGACATGCAGGGTTGACTGCTTAATTAAAGTTTTAAGTCCAACCAAAATCCTCTGGTTCGAAAAAAAATAATTCAAATTGTCTTAATGAATTTTCTTTTAATGATGATGTCATTATCGATGTTATTATGCCATAACTTTAATTCCGAATCTATAGGCTTAGAAATACTATCGCATTACCTATCAATTTATTATCAAAAGTATAAGTTGATCCAAGAAAAATTTATCAAATATGTGCATTTTTTAATGAAAGGAAAATTATTATTCGTCCAATCTGGCTTCAATGCGTACAAATCTGTTCGTCCATGGTAAAATATGTGTTGTGTGTCCCGGGCCGTCAGGCACAAGCTTCTTTCAAACACTTCTATTATTTCGACTATAAAAAAAACTATTGTGCAGTAGCATAAAAACACATTATTTAGCCATTGACATTGCATGGTTTCCTCAAATGAGTTAGAAGAAATTATTTGTAGACATTATATTTGTTCTGTAAATTTTTTCAGCCGCTGTACAGCCCATTGTATCTCTGGTTATCAGTTTGATAATGGAGACACCACAATACAGAAGGACTGTGATCCCTTGACGGGGATGTTTTTTGATGGCCCAACATTTCCAAAATGCATACGTAATGATTCAAACCCTTTCGGTCTCGGACGTAAGTATCCTGATCTTTTTTTAATTTAAGACTCATGATATCCTGTTTAATTATACATTAAGATATGTGTAGATATTGTGTAAAGCTTTGACAAATTTACTCCGCATTACAATTAATAAGATTGATTGAATTAACTGTGCAAATAAAAATTTATTTGCAATTGTGTGTTTATTTTTATATATACTCAAAGAAAAAACTCTTACTACCGGTATATGTTTGATGATCAAAATAGAGTTAAATTCCTCACATCAATGTACTGACATAAAAACACATCTGAAGTGCACGTGAATACATTTACATGTATACACTCAGTTCCAAAAGTGATTGAGTTCAATGTATAGAAAATACTTTTTTTTAAATGAAAAGTATTCACGTATTTAAAAGAAGTATTTTCTAAATGAATCCAAAATGCAATACACATGCTCACAAGATGCACAGAAGAAGCATTGATTAAAAAATGATAATTGATATGAGAGAGAGAATTGAATTCGGATTTGGGGGGCTTGTTGTGTTACATACATGTAGATAAGTCTTTGTCTTTAGTATGCATTTTTACCTAGTTGTAACAGTATTTTTTTTACATAACAAAACTACACTAGTGAATATGAAAAAAAAAATGGCTAAATTCGAGTATGTCATCTTACGACTCACTGCTTTTTTTACGCAGCATCCGGTTACTGAAAATTGGAAAAGTCAAAATCTTCAAATTATCTGTTTGTATACAAATTATGATAACACCCGTGTTCTTTTAACTTTTAACATGTAATTGCAGAAATCCTGATATAAATATTTTATTATTTTTTATATGTTTAACTGAAAAAATATTGTTTGACTCGATTTAAAAATATATCTTATTGGAACACAATCACCGAAATTGAAACAAGTTATTCCAGCGTAGATTGTTCTCTCCAACACAAACAAAATGACAGCATGGTGATGTACAACCAATAATATTGATTTGTTTTTGTAGCATCCGATGCTTGCAAACCGTTACCAGCTCCTACAGATGGGCAGATAAACTGTGGAGATTCGACGATATTTTAGTGAGTATACTGCACCAGCTATGTAACCGCCATGATAAACATAATGTTAAAGAAAGAAATATATGGATAACACCCCTTGTATCTGATAAAATAAGCCATTAAGCAGTGTTTGAATTTCATCGTAAAACTAGCTAGATATGCAGGGCTTACTGCTAGGTGAAAGTTGTTTGCCCAACCAAAATCCTCTAGCCCGAGAAAAATAATTCAAATTGTCTTAATGAATTTCTTTTAATGATTATATGAATAGGGCCATAACTTAAATTCCGAATTTATAGGCTTAGGAATTCTATCGCATTACCTATAAATTCATTACCAAAAGTAAAAGTTGATCCAAGAAAGAATTATCAAATTAATGAATTTGAATTGCAGGAAAAATTTTATTCGTCCAACCGGGCTTCATTACATACAAATCTGTTCGTCCATGGCAAGATATGTGTGTCTCTAGCGGTCAGGCACACGCTTATTTCAAATACTATGAAAAAAAAACAACATATTCTAACCGAATGTCGAGATTGCAGAGTTCAGTTTCCTCCATTGAGTTTGTTTGTTGTCATTATATTTGTTCTGTACATTTTTTCAGCCGCTGTACGGCCCAGTGTAACTCTGGTTATCAGTTTGATAATGGAGACACCACAATACAGAAGGACTGTGATCCTATGACAGGGATGTTCTTTACTGGCCCGACATTTCCAAAATGCATACGTAATGATTCAAACCCTTCCGGTCCTGGACGTGAGTATCCTGATTTTTTTTAAATTTAAGTCTCACGATAGCCTGTTTAAATATACGTTAAGATATATGTAGGTATTATGTAAAGTTTTGACAAATTTACGCTGCAATACAACTAATTAGACTACTAGTAATTGAAATGACATTTTCTGCAATTATTTGGATATTGTGTTTATTTAATATATATATATACTTAAAGTGAAAAACAGCTTTTATTAGAAGTTTGATAATGATTGATTGATGGTATACTGTTTAACGTCCCTTTTCAGAATATTTCACTGATATGGAGACGTCACCATTGGCGGTGAAGGGCTGCAAATTTAGGCCTATGCTCGGCACTTACGGCCCCCGAGTAGAGAAGGATCTTTATCGTGCCACACCTGTTGTAACACGGGGCCTCGGTTTATACGGTCTCATTAGAAGGACCGCCCCATTTAGTCGTCGCCTTTTACGACAAGCAAGGGGGGGGGGGGGGGCTGAGGACCTATTCTAACCCGATCCCAACGGGGATGTTTGATAATCAAATAGAGTAAAACTCATCACATCAAATGGAATTTTTAAGAATTGATAATTTAAGTAAAAGATGTACGGACATAAAACACATCTAAAGTACGCATGAATACATGAACTTGTACATGTATATTTTCAATTCCAATGCTGGTTGCGTTAAATGTATAGAAAATACTGTTTAATTGAAAAAAGTGTTCACGTACAAAACAGTATTTTCTAAATGAATCCAAAACACAATACACACGCTAACAAAATGTACAGTTGAAGCATTGATTATATGTGATAATGAATATGCGAGAGAGAGAGAGAGATGGATCCGGATTTTGGGAATTTCTATGATATATAAAAGAGTCTGTCTGTTTATTATAGTTATTTTAAAATTATTTAATCATTGAAAACTTTATTTTTCAATATTTTAGAGCAATATATATTTTCCCTTGTATATATTTTCTAGCAGCTTAAATTTTGCTAAAATTACAATAGAAAAGCTTTGCATCAGAAATGTAAATAAGTGTATTAGAGAGGTAGTCAGTGCAATATTTGTTCTTATAGAATAGGAAAAAGATGAACTGCTATTTGTTTTACCCGACAGGACGTAATCTTACTTCAATATCACGGTGACCTTACGCACAAACGATGTAACACTGTGAGTAATTTATAACTAGACAAATCGGCGAATTTTTCTGTCTCTTTCATCAAGATTATTTCACTCTTATCTTTAATCATATCTTCTACACTGATATTTTGATCACTCTTTATTTTTTATAACGTATTAAGGGCAGAAGACATTTTAAAAAAAATCAAAGTGTAAATTATCAAAGTGGTAAAGAAATCAAATCCTTCCTCATAGCGCGTGATAGATTTTGTCCTTGACCTCGATATATTCTTAAGAACAGCACAAGATCTTTTGTCTTTTTCTTTTACATTGTTTCTTACCTTGAATTTTTTTCAACGAATTTAATCTTTCATTGCATAAACATTTTAAATTGTAAGAAGCGTGCAACTTATGGTGATCCTATGTTTGACTGAAAAAATATTGTTTGATTCGATTTAAATATATATTTCATTGAAACACAATCGATGAGATTGAACACAAGTTATTCCAACGTAGATTGTTCTCCCCAACACAAACAAAATGACAACATGGTGATGTACAACCAATAATATTGACTTGTTTTTGTAGCATCCGGTGCTTGCAAACCGTTACCAGCACCTACAAAGGGGTTTTCATACGGGCAGGGGTTTTAAAAGCCAGTAATGATAAACTTCTTATTGAAACACAATCAATGAGATTGAACAAAAGTTATTAAAACTTAGATTGTTCTCCCCAACACAAACAAAATGACAACATGGTGATGTACAACAATTAATATTGACTTGTTTTTGTAGCATCCGGTGCTTGCAAACCGTTACCAGCTCCTACAAATGGGCAAATAAACTGTAGCAATTCAACTAAAACGATATTTTAGTGAGTATATTGCACCAGTTATGTAACTTCCATGATAAACATAATGATAAAAGAAAGAAATATATGGATAAAAACCCATTGTATCTGATAAAATAAGTCATTAAGCAGTGTTTGAATTTCATCGTTGAATTAACTAGAAATGCAGGGCTGACTGCTTAGTGAAAGTTGTCAGCCCAACCAAAATCCTCTAGCTCGAGAAAGAGAATTCAAATTGTTTTTATGAATATCTTTTAATGATTATGTGAATAGGTCCAAAACTTTAATTCCGAATCTATAGGCTTAGGAATTTTATCGCACTACCTATAAATTCATTACCAAAAGTATAAGTTGATCTAAGAAAGATTTTTCAGATATATGAATTTAAATTTCAGGAAAAATTTTATTCGTCCAAACAGACTTCATTTGGTACAAATCTGTTTGTTCATGGTCATATATGTGTGCCTCGGGCGGTCGAGCACACGGTTATTTCAAACACTGCCATGATTACGGATATAAATAATTGTTGTGCGGTAGTATGAAAAAACATATTATATATCAATTTATCGACACTGCATGGTTGAGTTTCCTCCACTGAGTTAGAAGAAATTGTTTGTAGACATGATATTTTTCTATACATTTTTTTTTCAGCCGCTGTACCGCCAAGTGTAACTATGGTTATAAGTTTGACAATGGAGCTACCACAATACAGAAGGATTGTGATCCCCTGTATGGGATGTATTTTGGTTGCCCAACATTTCCAAAATGCATACGTAAGTCAAAAATAGATATAAACAGTGAACTGTAGCGTAAAGGAGGGATATCTACTTAATCATGTCCAAAAAGTAGTGAGGCATTACCTAATAAGATCCTGTAAAAAAAATATATTAGAGCATCTCGATACTTATTCCAAATCCTTAATTATATTCAAAAAATAATAAGGATCATAAAACATTAATTATTCAAAAGAAAGTAAGGAATTTCCATAATCATTTATAGAAATAGTGAGGCATTTCATTTTACAAATGTGAGATCCTGTAAAAAATAATATATTTGGAATCATCGATCCTTAATCAAAAAGTAGAAAAGCATCTCCTAAATCATGTCAAAAAATAGTTTGGCATTTCTATCCTAAATCATGTTAAAAAAAATATAGAAGGGTATCTCATAAATCATGTGAAAAATATACCAAAGCATCCGCTTAATCCTTTAAATAAAATAATGCATCTTGGTCCTTAATCATGCCAAAAAAGTAAGGAATCTTCTTAATCTTGTCAAAAAATAGTTTTGATCTTTAATCATATCCAAATAGTAAGGTATTTTTTAAGTCAGGTTAAAAATTTGTAGGCATCTTGATCTCAAATCACGTCAAAGATATTTTTAATCATTTCCTTAATCCTGTAAAGATATTAAAACACCTCCTTAATCTTGTCAAAAGATAGTAAAATAACTTATTCATCCTGTCAAAATAAATACTAAGACACCTCCTTAATCCTGTCAAAAATAGTAAGGCACCTCCTTAATCCTGTCAAGAAATGGTAAGGCATCTTCTGAATCACATTTAAAAAAATCGTAAGAATCTCTAAAATGATCTTAAAAAGTAAGGCATTTTAATCATATCCTAAAAATATTAAAGCATTTACTTAATCAAAAGAGGTAGAAAAGTATCTACCTTAATCAAATCAAAAAATAGCGAGGCATCTCGGTAACCATATTTAAAAATGTCAGGCATCCTGATCATGTTTAAAAAATACTGAGGCATTTACTAGTACTTAATTATGACCAATAATTCATATGGACTTTCTTGTTAAAATTCTTTTTTACAGCTACAAACCCCCCAGTGACGAAATCTGCATCACCTGTGTCCAGTACATCCTGAACAAAAGCGAAGTTTTAAATGAGAGACTCCATTAATCACACAAAAGGGAAAAAAGAGGAAAATTAAATAAGAACTTTTAAGATTTAATGTGTTGTAAAATGCAAAATTTCATTTAGATGATGAATGTTAATCTTGATAGGATGTGCTTAAGATGTTTTTTAAGAAAAATCTGAGGGGCCAATGAAGCATGTCCATTATTTTTTTATTTATACAAAATAAAAGCTTAAGAAAATTTGTGAAGAAAAAAACATTTCACAAGATTCTAAACAATAAAGAATGCGGTAAACATGTACATGTATATGAAAAATCTAAACTAAAAGTTGAATATTTTAAATTGCTTATTTAAGCAACAATATGAATTTTGGTATAACAAATTTTAATCAGATTAAAAATTTTGATGTAATGAAGTGGTCTTCTTATTGAATACTTTGAAAATATACGTTTTTATTGTAATATTTTGTTTGTGACCAACACTTTAAATATGCTACATGATACCTTTGCAGAGCCGAAGGCGATATGTAATAGAATGGACTCTCCTTCAAGCATCCTTTAGTATGTACAAGATGAGGGTCATTCTATGTAATGAGCCTGAGGCTCAAGAGGGTATCATGTACCCAACCCAATTTGATTTTATTTTGAGGGAAAATAATCCACCCATATGGTGTTTGTTAGTTGTCACAAACAAGCTTCCAAGAATGATTTCGGCACGTGGAGCTGTGCTTTATATACTACTGACCAAAGGTGTGTATGCGTCACACAGGTCATTATTTTTTAGCTTCTTTAAATTGAGATACACCTCGCTGCACTCGGAGATAATGCTACATGATACCCTCTTGAGCCTCAGGCTCATTACAAAGAATGACCCGCATCCTGTACATCCTAAAGGATGCTTGGAAGAGGGTCCATTATCTTTGTTTACATTTTTATTGCAGTTACTTGTATTTGTGTTTGTTTTGTATACAGCAACTATTGTAAGTTTCTTTGGTGTTTTATATCCCTGCATTAGAAAAAGTTTACCGAGTGCTGTATAGCGTATGTCCGTCTTCATCGGTGACATCTGATTACACTGAACAGTGACTATACAGCCCCTTTATATATCCTTAGAAATGGGGAGAGTCCTATCGAATATGGCGGACAAATTCCTTTTAGGGATCGTTTTCAGCTTTAAGAAAGGTCTTGTCACAAGGAATACACCTGTGATATGGATTTAGCCGCATATATTCAAAAGTTATGGGCAAGGTTAAACTTTTGCTGACAAACAGTTTAACATGCAGATGTTGAGGACAATTAGGCGAAAAATCTTCTTTAGTTTCTCGGGCCATAAATTTCCAAATTTAATGCAGCAGGCATTTTTTTCTCTCAGATATCAACCTATTCTTACTTCTTTCTTCTCCTACAAAAATTATAAACAATATCAAAAAAGCTAAGCATTTCTATCCCCCTCGAAAAAATTTGCGAGTCTCTGTTAATATGGATGCATCATTCATTAGAGCATTACATTTACTGTAAATACTACTGAGTCATGAAATTTAAATAAAAAATAACCTTAATCAAATTATTAAGTGACGTTTTTGGGGTTACTTTCAGATTTAAAATCTTAACGTTTATCAAATACTGTACTTTAAAAAAAATCATATTTGATAGAAAAATTGTTATCAAATGCCAGTCATTAAAAATATACCTGAAAAAGTAACAAATTATTATGACAAGGAATGCACATCATTTAATGATATATATCATACAATATATACACAATCTACAAAACGTATATCTTTGACTCAGACACAAATTTCATCGAGATTTAATACTATTTAGTTGGCAACTGGAGATTTCTTAAGGATGTTTGCATTCCTTCAAAGTAGTTACATATCATACACATTATCATGATACTTTACATTTACATTGTATTTCCATTACAGAAGATTGTATTAGTGTTGTCAGCTTAATCAGTGTCAAGATCTACTGATATAATAAATGAAAGATGCCTACAGGTTTCTCTAATTCAAGAAATATTTTCATTAAGCTTTATAACCAAAACATAAATAATTGGAATAAACATCATTTAGGCATGATTTTAAATGGAATTCTGTAAATTTCAAAATGCTTTCTTTTCTACAATTTTTATTGAAACTGTACGAGAAAAAGTGATATTGAATTGGTTATGACGTCAAAACTGATCTTACACAGGCTAATCACAATAACTAGTTATGGTGTCACACGACGTAGGTTCTACGTTAAGAAGCAGAGCAGAAAATGGAATCTCCAAAAGATTCATGAGGTGTAATCATTATATTTTCAACAATTAATCCTGTGTTGATATGACATATATGATACTGAACTTAAGACATCACAGATACTGACTTCATTCTATTTCATAATTGGCTACTTTATAATGGAAAGACATTGATCGTAAAATAACAACTTTTTTTAATCGTCAACTTCACTCACTGAGTATTGACGTAGAAATACCGTTATACCCTAATCACCTGCATCTCAAGAGTAAGAGTAAGCCCTTCAACGGTATATGACGATTTCTCGAGTGAAAACAAGATGTGTTTGTGAAACACTGATGCCCCCGTATGGCAACATAGCGAAGGTTAAGCTTTCTCAAATGCAGATCAAATATGTTGGTACCAAAGTAAGGCCTTTTCACAAGAAATGTGAAATATAAAATGCTAGCTACACCTGTTCCAGGGTTATGACCAAGGTTAACATTTTATAATATAGGACAAACTCCATTTCAAGGTCAAAGGGTCAAGGTTGTTGGGTTCTAAAGAAAGGTCAAAGGGTCAAGGTTGTTTGGTTCTAAAGAAAGGCTTTGTCTCAAAGATTATGTATGGGAAGTACGAAAGCGCTGGTCCTTATCGTTCAAAAGTTATGACCAAGATCAAAGTTTGAAAAAAAGTAGGTCAAACTCCAAGGTCAAGGTCAAAATTCTTGATATCAAATGAAAGGTCTTGCCACAAGGAATAAACTTGTGAAGTATGAATGCCGTAGCCGAACCCTTCAAAAGTTATGGTCAATGTTGTATTTTTAAAGTAGGTCAAACCCCAAGGTCAAGGTCAAAGAGTCAAGGTTCTTGGTATCCAATGAAAGATCTTTTCATCAGGATTATATATGTGAAGTATGAAAGCCCTAGTACTAACTGTTCAAAAGTTATAGCCAAGGTTAAAGTTTTTTCATAGATACGGAAATCTCCAAGGTCAAGGTCAAAAGGTCAAGGATGTTGGTATCCAATGAAAGGTCTTTCCACAAAGAATACATATGTGAAATATAAATGTCCTGGTATCTATTGTTCAAAAGATATGGCCAAAGTAAAAGTTCAAAATTTTTGTGTTTAAGTGGGTCAGACTCCAAGGTCAAGGTCAAAAAGTCAAATTTGGTGGTACCCAAAGAAAGGTCTTGTCACAAGGAATAAACATGTGAAATATAAAAGTCACAGCTCCACTAAATCAAAAGTTACGGACAAGGTTAAAGTTTTTGCGGACAAACAGACAAACAGAGAGACAGAGAGACAGACAGACAGAGAGACAGACAGGACAGACATGACAAAAACTATATGCCCCGAAACTTCGTTTACGGGGGCATAAAAATTCTCTATTCTCCATTAGAGTTGTCTTCCGCTACTCTCACAACATTGTGTACATACGAGGGTTGTCCAAAAAGTACTTGGGCAATGAGGTTCTCGTCAAACTAAATGGTTCAAAATAAAATTATTGTAAACCAAAATATTACTTATAAAAATCCAAGTCAGAATAGTTTGGTTTTTAGTGTTTGAACTTAATATTCTTGTAAAACTCGCGGTCATTATAGGTCGCCGATAGTGCGCACGGACCAGGGTTAAAATGTCATAAATTTTTAAATGAAGTATTGTTATTAAAATGATTATTTTCGGTACGAGAGCTGTTCGAAAATTCGTAGACAACTGTCAAATGTTTTATTTGAGGTCATATGTTATCCAAATTTGGTAGAAGTATTTGGTAATTTAGTAAGTTACAAACAATACACTAAATAATGTCTGTTGTCATATTCTCTGTAAAATGGAGCAAAATCGAAAAACAAACTAGATAATCAAATTTAGAATTGTTACATTGATTCGTATTCAAAATTTTTGTTTGATATTTTGCTTTGTTGAAAAGAAATCAGTTGGAGAAGATAGGTAGTCCTCATTGAAAAGGACAAAAACGATGACGTTTCAGAGCGTCATGGAGCAGCGGATAGCGATGCAATCTTGTCTTTAACTCAGGAAAAATCCGGAATAAACTCAAAAATTCTTGAAGGAGTCAAATAAATATGTCACAAGCAAGTTGTGCACATGTGTACAAAAAGTACAGGCAATATTTGAATTACATTGACATTGTATCAGATAAGGACAATCTGTGAAAAAACGGTTTAACTGTAAGTATCTTAACAATAACTTTGAAAAGTTGGAATGTTAAGGTAGGATTCTTCTCATATTTCTAATATTTAAAAATTAATGAAATTTTCACAGAATCAAGAAGACAAAATCAGTAAGTGATAGTATCAGTGAAATTAAATTTGACCGTTTTATATTAGCGGCAAGGTCAGGTCAAGGTCATTATCTTTTTCTTTGACATTAAGAATAAAAAAATACTGTTGCCAATCATGTAATACCTACTTCTATTTCAAAAGTTTGAAGATTGTTCATTTTGCATGAAAACATATCACTATATCGGGTCTATAGCATGATATTACCAAATTTACATAAATGATTTAACTTAACTGGATATTGGCTAATCCGAATTTTCTCTGTTTTTCTTAATTTTTTAGGATATATTAGTTATTTTCATATGCTTCCTATATTTAACTTTTTCTTATTTTCACATATTATAAAGTAGTCTTATAAATGTACAAAATGATACAAAAACAAAAAGTTTTGATCGTTTACTAAGAGAGAAAAATTACTTTTTATGGATTTTTGGCTCAAATCTGCACTTTGATAGGAAGCGTTTAAAAGCTAACAAAGTTCTAGTTTGTTTGAAAAATCATATTTATTTGATATATTTTGAAAGTTTAGTCCCTCATTATTAATTTAACTAACATTTGAAAATTTCTCCAAGTCTTCGATTGTGTAAAAATTATAACTAAATTCATTGTTCTATTATAATTTTGAGAGGCAGATAAGAAGATATTTTCATACGCCAACATTCCGCCAAAAATATAGTCCCTGCTAGTTTTCAAACGCAGTTTACCATATCTATTTAAAGTTGTACAATTGTGATGAGGAAAGAAAAATATGGTCTTTTAAATTCCTTACACCTCAATATATTATAAGACATATAAGCAAATATACTTT